TCCGGTTATGAGGGAAACATACTGAAATGAACATGTGGCAGAGCCTGTCTGCTGATCGCTGGGGTTGAATTTTTTTATAAATAAAACAGTGCATTTTGATCGTTTGAATGAAAGCTATATAAATCCTCTCATCATTTCAATGCCCAACATGTTCATAATATGAGCTTTGATTTATCGCTATGACTTTTTCACGATGACTTTTTTCTCAGATTAAACATTTTTCATATATCATATTTTCATCATTTGACCGTTTAATTGCATCTTAATGTGATGTTTTTAATTTCCTTAAAAATCAATAAAAATATTAAATACATCCCCCCACCCGAAGGCATCGTAAAATTGAGACGCCTTTGCATTAGTCCTCGAAATCAGATAAATAGCCCTCTTCACCCCAGGCTTCTCGAGCACGCTTAGCTGTGTTTTGTACAGGTGTTGCTGGTTTCTTACGGCGGCGACGATGATGTGCGGCGGTAGGCCGAGAACCTTTGGTCACCTTCCTTGTTTCATTGCCCTTTTCCTCATTTGTCCGTCGTGATGTCCTATTTTCTATAACAGTGGGGGCTGGTGTGACAGCTCGAGGTTTGACTGTCACGTGGTTGTTGCTGGCTGTAAGGCGCTGCTGAGGACGCTGTGTGGTCTTGTACGCGCGAGGTAAAACGAAGCCACTTGAGGCTTTGTCAGTGCGGCGGGCCGAGGCAGGGTTGCTTCCAAGTCCTGAATCTTGACTATACTGAGCGTTGCCCAATGTGGGTGGAGTCTGGGCTGTGGCCCCCGATCTGGATATATAAAACGAATTTCTTTAACCCAACTGATTCTCTCTTTTAGTATTGCACATTGAACTTATAAATACTAAATATCATGTCATTTCACCACCAATTTTAAAAGATAAAACCATGATTAAGTAAAAAAAAATGATAAAAGTTTAATTAGAATATTATCACGCCGTTCTCCATCTATAAACAATTAACCATAGTTATGTAAAAGAAATAAGACTCTTACCTGAAATGTTCAGATTGGACAACCCCACGGTTTAGTATTGATTGTGAACAAGGTGGCGATAAAGCTATTTCAGAAACACTTGAATCAGAGTCTGTTCCACAAACAGATTTTGGGGTGCTGTTTTCCCTGGAAGCTGTGTTTCCGACGGCGATTGCTTCCCCAGGTTGGGATATGACGCTGGTAGCTCTATCATGGCCATTTTGGAAGTTGTTCTCTTCTTGGTGAACAGTTTCAATTTGGTTAGATTCCGATGAGACGCTGGAGTGTATTTCCTCTGAAATAGATGTTTCAGTAACTGGTCTGATTCCAGTCGAGAGGAACGTCTCAGAAAAACAACTGTATGGAGCGATGTCTTCAATAATACTAAGGTCGCTGTCAGACCCTGGCACCGCTTTCACAGTATTAACCAAGTGCGAGTCATCTGGTGTTAAAGGCGACTCGACACCAGTCTTCGTATAATGTTGGACGTTTTCACAGGATCCACAAATTTCCTCTGAGATGGAGGTTTCACTAGTGCTGATGTCTGGTCTTGTTACTGAGGTCTTATTGCTGCTGGATAAAACAGAAATCTCAGACAAGCAGCTGAACGCAGCAAGGTCTTCAGGGATGGTTGAATCACTTCTGTCGCTAGAATTTCCACCCTTAGCTGCAACTGAATCTGGAAACATGGATACGGCGGGTTTTACCCTGGATCCGTCGCCCGTATCCGCGTACCGATGTTCATGTACTTCCCCTATATCCTCTGGGATAGAGATGTCACTTGTCCTAATATCGGGTCTTATATTTGGTGCTTTGTTCTGGTCCACCTGTATTTCCCCGATTTCCTCTGGAATAGAGGTATCACTTGGGCTTATGTCGGGTATTGCTGCTGGTGCTTTATTGGTATCCGACCCACGAGAATCAGATGAACAGCTGAAGGAATCAAGATCCTCGGGGATACTTAATTCACTTTTGTCGCTGTCGGATCCTTGTTCAGCTTCAAGTGAATCAGGCGACTGTTGCACAGTAGGTACTATTATGGACACGACTCTTGTTTCATTGGCCTGATGTACGTGTGTGTCCACTTCCCCGATTACCTCTACAATAGAGGTGTCACTGCTGCTGATATCGGGTCTTAGTTTTGGTGCTTTGTTGATATCTGACATAGGAGAGTCTTCAGATGGACAGCTGAAGGCGACAAGAACCTCTTTGATGCTGATATCAGTTTCGTCGCTGTTGGTTTCCTGCTCAGCCACAACTGGAGCAGGCGACTTTGATGCAGANAGATATGAGCTTTGATTTATCGCTATGACTTTTACACGATGACTTTTTTCTCAGATCAAACATTTTTCATATATCATATTTTCATCATTTGACCGTTTAATTGCATCTTAATGTGATGTTTTTAATTTCCTTAAAAACCAATAAAAAATATTAAATACATCCCCCCACCCGAAGGCATCGTAAAATTGAGATGCCTTTGTGTTAGTCCTCGAAATCAGACAAATAGCCCTCTTCGCTCCAGGCTTCTCGAGCACGCTTAGCTGTGTTTTGTACAGGTGTTGCTGGTTTCTTACGGCGGCGACGATGATGTGCGGCGGTAGGCCGAGAACCTTTGGGCACTTTCCTTGTTTCATTGCCCTTTTCCTCATTTGTCCGTCGTGATGTCCTATTTTCTATAACAGTAGGGGCTGGTGTGACAGCTCGAGGTTTGACTGTCACGTGGTTGTTGCTGGCTGTAAGGCGCTGCTGAAGACGCTGTGTGGTCTTGTACGCGCGAGGTAAAACGAAGCCACTTGAGGCTTTGTCAGTGC